TACTGCTGCTGGCACATATAACACATATGAATAACCCCATATAGCATACATGAATCACCCCGTAGCAGATCTATACAGGTGGAGCTGAGGAAGGTGGAGGGTTTCTGAAGTGCGCTGCAAACTGCTACATCAAACAAAAGCCAGGTATTTGAATACTGAGCAGTAAGTTAATTGGCTACCGATACAGGAGAGAACCAATCAGATGCCATGGGACAATGATGTCGCCAGGTCAGATTGAGCTAGACCTATCGGACTGTGCCATCTAGAGTTTCATGCCAGAACTCTGTATTTGTGGCTTTTTAAAATTTCATTTAATTTCTTTATTTTAAAACATTATAAATTCTATAATCATGTTTTTTAGTTTTCCTCACTCCACAACAATTGCTTTAAATTTAATTATATTCAGAACAGAACAGGAAAAAAAAAAAAATTATAGTAGTATTCATTATAAACAACATTTAATATAAACACCAAGTCTAAACTAATTTATTTAAAGTGAAACTGAACATACCAATGTCTGGGAAAAGCACTATACAAATAAACTTGGGCTCATATAAAATACAGTACAGAATATAAACAAATATTTCAAATTATTGCATACTTTATCTATTCTATTGTGTCGTTCCAAACCTGCATGACCTTCTTTCTTCTGCAGAACACATAAGAAGATATTTTGAAAAAATGCCCATATAATGAAAGTCAGCTGGACCAAAACATTCTTCAATATAATTATTTATATATTTATTTATATTATTAATTATGACGATTTCCATCTTTGGGTGAACTATCCATGTAAGAACTACAACATTATTATAATACAAAAAACAGGGTATGACAAATCCTATTTGAAACCAATGTATTTCTGATAGGAATTCATTGATCCTCTGTGAACACAGACTTCACTTGTCATGGCTGAAGGAGCAAGAAAAGGTGGGTGCTGGGATAGCAGTCACTATGGGACATGGTTGAGTTTGTGATTCAGTAGCTCATTTTCATTACTGTGTGTTTGCGTCTGTGGGTGTGCGTCCACGTCTGTATGCAGCAGATATATTTATTAGAAGCATCTGAAAAGAAAACTGTGTTTTTCAAAAGCAGCTTTCTGTATTGAAGATTTCAGATTGCCTTCAATACAGAAAGATTACAGCTATACTTCTACCATAGATGAAGAGAGAGAGAGAAAGGGAAAAACACTCTCCGCTTTCTCATCATTATCTAAATGCAGAGCTCTCTGGGTCGCTAATGTCACCCACAGACAGAGAAGCTGCTGGAGAACACAGCGAGGAACTACTGACTTTAAAGTCCTGGAGAAGCTTTCTCTGACCTCCCAGCAGCTGCACCCAAAAATTGTAATTCTTCCTTTATTCAGGTTCAATTGCGACTGAAGCCTTCGTGCTTCAAAGAAAAGAGCAAATGCCACTTAAAGTAGTTCATATGTCTCACGTGACTCTTCTGAAGTCATATGATAACTTTGGGTGAGAAAGAGACCAATTTTTTTAAATGTCTCTCACTGATAAAACCACCGAATTGAGTCCATGAGTCAAGAACTTAAGAATTGGATCGGTCTGATTTATAAATTAATCATCCAGAATGGTTTTGTGAAACAAATGAACTGATACATTGAAAAGATCTGATTTAAAAGAACAAATTTTCATAAATCCAACAGACATCACTACTTCTCTCATGAATGTGCCAAGGACTGCTTTGGCGGATATATTTTCAGTCAATTATAAAGCTCATGTCCCCTGTTCATTGTAACTGCAAGGAAAAATAAAGACCAGCACAGTCTCCAGAATACCTCTTTTGTTTTTCATGGAAGAGAATACAGGTTTGAAATGATATGAGAGTGAGTAAATGATGAAATGATGACCACTCTATATCTTTAGCGCTCTCTTTCCATTGCTCTTTTCCTCCTTATCTCATCTTCATCTGTCTATAATTTTTTCTCTTTGTCCAGATCCTTTACTTTCCTTCAAAGCAGCAGGGAGGAGGCCACTCGATCACAATCGATACATACATCTCTTCTCACCTCATTCTGGCCATTCCACTGCTCTCAAACAGTGTGTGTGTGTGTGTAAAAGAACATGGTTCATCTGCTTACACACACACACACACACACAACACCACTGCCAAAAAAAAAATCTGTATTTTTGCTTATTTTCATCATCTGTATTAAAATATATTGTATATATAAAATATACATGTTATTATCTTTTTGTTAGATAATATTTTTTTAGATCATATTTTTATATACAGTGGGTACGGAAAGTATTCAGACCCCCTTAAATTTTTCACTCTTTGTTATATTGCAGCCATTTGCTAAAATCATTTAAGTTAATTTTTTTTCCTCATTAATGTACACACAGCACCCCATATTGACAGAAAAACACAGAATTGTTGACATTTTTGCAGATTTATTAAAAAAGAAAAACTGAAATATCACATGGTCCAAAGTATTCAGACCCTTTGCTCAGTATTTAGCAGAAGCACCCTTTTGATCTAATACAGCCATGAGTCTTTTTGGGAAAGATGCAACAAGTTTTTCACAACTGGATTTGGGGATCCTCTGCCATTCCCTCTTGCAGATCCACTCCAGTTCTGTCAGGTTGGATGGTAAACATTGGTGGACAGCCATTTTTAGGTCTCTCCAGAGATGCTCAATTGGGTTTAAGTCAGGGCTCTGGCTGGGCCATTCAAGAACAATCACAGAGTTGTTGTGAAGCCACTCCTTCGTTATTTTAGCTGTGTGCTTAGGGTCATTGTCTTGTTGGAAGGTAAACCTTCGGCCCAGTCTGAGGTCCTGAACACTCTGGAGAAGGTTTTCGTCCAGAATATCCCTGTACTTGGCCGCATTCATCTTTCCCTCGAATGCAACCAGTCGTCCTGTCCCTGCAGCTGAAAAACAACCCCACAGCATGATGCTGCCACCACCATGCTTCACTGTTGGGACTGTATTGGACAGGTGCCTGGTTTTCTCCACACATACCGCTTAGAATTAAGGCCAAAAAGTTCTATCTTGGTCTCATCAGACCAGAGAATCTTATTTCTCACCATCTTGGAGTCCTTCAGGTGTTTTTTTAGCAAACTCCATGCGGGCTTTCATGTGTCTTGCACTGAGGAGAGGCTTCCGTCGGGCCACTCTGCCATAAAGCCCCGACTGGTGGAGGGCTGCAGTGATGGTTGACTTTCTACAACTTTCTCCCATCCCCCGACTGCATCTCTGGAGCTCAGCCACAGTGATCTTTGGGTTCTTCTTTACCTCTCTCACCAAGGCTCTTCTCCCCCGATAGCTCAGTTTGGCCGGACGGCCAGCTCTAGGAAGGCTTCTGGTCGTCCCAAACGTCTTCCATTTAAGGATTATGGAGGCCACCGTGCTCTTAGGAACCTTAAGTGCAGCAGAAATTTTTTGGTAACCTTGGCCAGATCTGTGCCTTGCCACAATTCTGTCTCTGAGCTCTTCAGGCAATTCCTTTGACCTCATGATTCTCATTTGCTCTGACATGCACTGTGAGCTGTAAGGTCTTATATAGACAGGTGTGTGGCTTTCCTAATCAAGTCCAATCAGTATAATCAAACACAGCTGGACTCAAATGAAGGTGTAGAACCATCTCAAGGATGATCAGAACAAATGGACAGCAGTTATTTTATATTAGGCATAGCCTGCCCTATAGCATGGTGTATTTTTATTCGTTTTGTTGTATTTTGTTGTTGCATTCAAGCAATTGATGCCTAATTGCCGCTAATTCGAAAGTGAAAGTGAAAGTAAAATGCGCACGGCACTTTTAAGCAATTTTTGATTTTAGCAAATGGCTGCAATATAACAAAGAGTGAAAAATTTAAGGGGGTCTGAATACTTTCCGTACCCACTGTATATTTATTTTAATTTAAACTACAATTCAAAAATTTGGGATCTGTATTTTTTTTTAAAAGGAATTGCAATGTTTATTCTGCAGATATGCATTACATTTTGTCCAAAAGTGACAGTAAAGACATTTCTTTTAAACTTTTGTACTCAAAGGATCATGAAAAAAGTATCACGGTTTCCACAAAAATACTAAGCAGCACAGCTGTTTTTAACATTGATAATATGAAATGTTTCTTGAGCAACAAATCAGCATTAGGCTTGCCGTGATAGACGGTGCCGACGGTGATACCGTTGTTAAGCCGTAACACCGGTTACGTCACTTGCCCACCGCGGCACCGACCCCCACCGTCGTTTAGAAGGAAAAGAGGGAACGCCCCTGCCCCCACGGTGATACTGGTATTATCGGTATTGTCACACGTCGATTAACCGGTAGGAAAATATCCTCACCGTCACAACCTTAATCAGAATATTAGAGTGATTTCTGAAGGATCATGTGACACTACTGACTGGTCTAATGATGCTGAAAATTCAGCTTTGCATCACAGGAATAAATTACACTTTAAAATATATTCAATAGAAAATAGATATTTTAAATTGTAAAAATATTTCACAATATTACTGTTTTACTGTATTTTTAATTAAATAAATGCAGCCTTGGTGAGCATAGGAGACGTTTTTCAAAAACATTAAAAATCGTACTGACCCCAAACCTCTGAATGTGTAAAGCAATATAGATAGATATAAATACAGCTTTTTATTGTTTATCACAGTACTTTTCTTATTGCTATTTTTTGAATGAAAAATCTCACTAAATCTAACTAGATTTATGTTTTTATGAATGACAAATATTCCTTTTATTTATGAATTTTCCTTGAATTCTATGAATTTTGGTTAAACCGTTTCTTTAATTCAAGGCATATTCTTTAAAATCATGTCTGAACATACTGCATTTAGTGGTGAAGAAAAATTGTGTTTGGATGTTTAGATTTGATTACCAGAAAACAAGAGAAAAATACTGATTAAGGAAACAACTTTTCATGCTGAAAATATGCGCACATGCATTTCATTTGAGACTGTAGAGTAATCAGAGGGTTCAAACCCTCTATTAAGACGCAAATGAGCATACTGTGTCTCTTACCGTCCTCTTCCTTGTGTGTGTTTTGCGGGCTGTGCATCCTATCTGCGCTGGAGGGTTGGTTCTGGTCAGACAGTGTGGTGTGACGTTCAGCTGATATCCATGTGGGGTCACTCATATCAAACTCCTCACTACTCACTGAACAGCCATCCTGTGGAGAGAGAGCCAGAGAGATGTCAGTCCAACAGCTGAGGCAGGATTGCTCATATCGGTGCCACGTCTGTGTGTGTGTGTGTGCGCAAAACTAGAATAGATGTGAAAGTCAGATTGGGCCGTGATGTTGGCAGGCAAACAGGCCCATGAGGAGGGCTGTCAGAGAGAGCAGTCACCCCCCTGCTGAGTGACAGCATCACTCATACACACACACACAGGCGCAGCGATCCACCGGGACCACCAAAAACTACAACTGGGCCCCAAAGCGCAGTGCAGAAGTGTTAAAAAGAGAGTACAGTACACTACTACTTCAGTATATCTACTCTACTGAAGGCATAAACATGGTCAAAAACATGATTTATTACTGAAAAATTCACATTCTGACTGCCCTAAAACCTGATTCAATTAAGGCATTAAGGTTTTTTGCCTTTGTGACTGCTTTGAAAATCCATCAATAAACATTAATCATTTTGTAATTAAAGAAATATGTATCAGTTAATATTTGATTCACATGTGTGAATAATGGTTTGCACTGCTGTATATAAGGTTACATAAATATTTACCTGCTGATAAACATCCATTGAAATGTCTAAACGCAAATCAAATCTGTGAAACATTTTCAAGGTATGCATCTCAAATGAAATTATATTCTATAAGCAGACATTGAACTACTGTCATAAACAGTATTCATACTATTCCTATCATGGACATGAATTAAAAGTAAAAAGCAAGGTTATGAAAGATTGTTCAAATTAAGAACATTTTCAACCATCAGTGGAACTTTATTTCAGTGGACCAGACTGGAAAATGATAACATGAGATGCAAAATATTACTGATTTGTCATTTTTAACACATTTTTATTGCTGCTTTCAAGACTTTCAGAAGTCATCTTTCAATTTTGTCAGTCATCACGTAATCCAGCTACATAACAGTATGTTGGTGACAAATCAGCAGAATTTGCATCACAGAAAAGCACATTTTAAAGTTTTAAGGCATAAAAACGGATGTGCAAGATCAAAAAATTATTTTCAGTGTCAGCACAGCACTAGCCCGAAAGGGCAAGTGATCGTTAGTGTTGTTGACTTGCCTGAAACTCTCTCACACTGACCCCAGGCCAACAGGTCATCCATACTGTTGAGCCCTGCACTGACTTTAAATAATCAACTTTTGAATAATACATCATACAAATACAGCAATCAGATACATGTTTGTGTTTAAATAAGCCCCCAGAGATTAAGAACGATGCCCAGGGGTCAGCAGAAGTCAGCAGGGACAGCTGATAGGAACAGACAGCAGAGGGAGGGGTCAGAGACACCCTTTAAAGATCACGAGGAAACGCACTGTAGCTAAAACCATCAGGTAGACAACAAAGAGGATCGCACTTAAAGCGGCCACACACCCGTCCCACCCCCCAAACAGTGTGTAATGTATTCTGCCACATTTTCATTCCCAGGCTGAAGTCACAGAACTGACAATCCAGCACCTCCTTAATCATCTTCCAATAGGACATCAAACAGGAGCCTCTATTAATCTGACATTTAACTCCTTTTCAATTATAATCTTATAAAATCGCATTTAACCGCTTCAAGCCCGCGATCAGCGCTGCACAGCTAATCCAATTTAGAACAATGCAGGTCATCAGCGGCCGAATCTCTCTGACTCCATCTCCCTGCACCCCTACGGCTCAATTCTGATGATCTTTTATTAGTTTTTATTGTTTATTAATGATCATGCTTACGGTCTCCTCTCATCTGCATGCAGGTGACATTCCGCTCTCTCTCTTTCTCGCTCTCTCTCTCTCTCTCTGACAAATTGCTGCCTATGCAGATAAAGAGAGCAGGGACAGCCTGGCATTTTCCCCCTCCACGAAACATCCCGGCTCCTCCGTGTCTTTAATGAGAATAACAGATAGAAACGAGTCCAATCACTTGGTTTCTTTCATTTGTGGAGGGTCTGAGTGGCTCTGTGGGCTGTGCATGTGTGTTTCAGGGTTTCTTTTGTCTGAGAGCTGTGTGTGCGTTCACAAAACACAAAGAGCAGACGTCCTTGGGAGACGGTCTCTTCTCAGCCAGTGCTGGGTGTTACCTTTGTCCTATCTCGTGTTTTCATTTAGTTGATTAACTTTGCTTTCATAATAATACGCTTTTGGGTGGGTGAGAATGAAAGGAGCCTTTTATCGCTTTAACTGATTTACGTTCGCACGACTTGAACCTCCGAGCCAGGAGTGTGGACATTTGTAGAGTGACTTTATAAGCGAGGTTGGCCTGTTAGCCGCCCCGCTGTATAGCGAGCTGTAAATTGTCTAAATTAAGACGTGAGGGGGTAAAGTCTTTTAAAAATCATTAACTTCAGGAGCAAGTCTATTTTTAATGGTGTGCCAAGGGAAGCCGGACAACCTGGGCGTTCTTCCGCCTTCAGGTCGTAAGTTCACACAGAATGGTCTTGGGGAGGAAAAAACAGATAGCATAATAATATACAGGTTCATCACGTAAATACACATGTGGAGATGCCTAATGTACCTTCAATGATTGATGCCTACCTTCAGAGGCACGCCGTGCTGTTTTGTCAAGCACAGAGGCACTAAAATATGAATGCAAATCAATGTCTTTCTCTGAGACCGTTTAAAGCATGCATGAGAACGCTGGGGCAACATTTGCTTTCCTGAGTTTGTAAAAAGGCTTCTGTAAGGAGATTGACCCTTTCTGCCTGCACTGAGGATCTTCTAGGCTGGGTTATGGGGAGGCTTTTTGGTACCAGGGCCATTTAAAGCTAATCCAGTTAGCAAGCCAACCCTTCCTGTCCAACTCTTCAAACTTTCCTTCTTACATCAGCAAGTTGGCTGCTGGTGTCCTTGTGAGAAGCTCAATGCTATGGAAATGTAACCCTTGGGTTTATGTTGGCAAGTCCAAACAATTAAACTGATAAACGGCTTTTGCATCGCAGATACTGTAAAAACTCAATGAAACTCTCGTGAAATGCCTTTAATATCAATCGGACTTTTCACAGTGCTTTTTCTACAATGAATCATTCAGCAAAGGGAAAAAGTGAATGTGGCATCAACCAAAGAGTGAGACCGTCATGGTATTTCCTGAGCATAAATGATTGATTATGTGACAATGTGATTGATTTGCATGTACGACTGGAATGAGTGATAGTCCTCCATGTCTCGTCTTATTCAATCTGCAATTAGTTCCCCTCCTTTTTCCATCTTCCATGTCTTTCTACCCATAGGGGGTCTGAATACTTTCCGTACCCACTGTATATATATATACTTATATTAGGGGTGACCCCGAATAGTCGACGATTCGATAGGAGGAGCATGATTCGACTACCAATCTCACAGTCGAATATTCGCGGGGTGTTATGATCATGCCATTTTGGCTATATGGGGGTGCTCAAATGTCTGATTTCACATAGAACTACCGGTTTTCTCCCAATAAGTTAATATACAGCCTATTAAAATAATGCTGTAAATAAGAATCTGAAAAGAAAGAAGCTTCAAATAAATATTTTAACGCGAGTGAATAAATCCAACCACCCCTATAGATTTAAGTTTCACTTTCCATAATCCGTGACCGACAGAGGAGCATCTTGGCGGCAGGGATTTAAAACTTTAACAAGACTCAAATTGACACAGGCAGAGTGAAAGACTGGATTTTTTCGATCAGGTAGGGTACAAGTGATTTCAAAAAATTTCAGCCGGTTTATATATATTGTGTATATATATCATTTATCTCCTGTAAGATGCATTTGGTTGAGTCAAGCGCTTCATTGTAGTACTACGGTGATTATCTCTTCAGCGCACAGCGCGAGCAGGACAAACAACAATGCAGAATATTAATAACTATGACTCGGACTGTCATATACATAACAATTATAATGAGAACACTAATAATAAAACGCTGTGAATGTTTAGAGTTTAGTTGCCGTGTTTCTGCACGTTGTTGCGTGAAGAACGCGTCCACAAAAGGAGTTCATTCAGAGCCACGCAGACACGTTCACTTCTGCATTCGGGGCATTTTGTACAGATAGTCTATAAGTCGTAATATTAACGTTATGTTGTATAAATAACAAAGTGTATTTTATATGAGATAAATGATGAGTTAAATCCCATCGATTAAAAACCTGCTGCTACATTCTACTGGTCATCTTCAGCGCGCAAACAAATCCGTTATACATTTTCCCTGTGTGTAAACTTTTGACTGTCGAATGTTTTACTTGACTCTTGGTAATGTATTTTCCCCCGCCCCCAAAACATATGATTCGACTATCAGTCGAATATCGGCAAGATTCGAAAATTCCGATTCGACTATGAAAATCCTTAGTCGGGGACTTCCCTAACAGTGTTTCCCCTGTACATTCTACTCAACAATAGTAATATATTTCTGCCAATGCCCTCAAGTTAAACCGAACTTTTATTTTGACGGGTTGCCGTGAATACCTTCCTTTACATTTCTGTGTGTATATGATATGAGGATAGTTTTACTCAAATGAAACGGTCAAATGCTCATGAAGTGACTCTCAGAGCAGTTCTGGAGATGTTGTTCATGTATTTATGTCCTCATTTAGTGAGACAGCAGACGCTAAAACCACGCAAGCGCCACGCGCGCTTCAGTACGAGTGGTAAACAAAGCCGCATGTCTGCGCCATTCATTAACACAGAGACACGCAGAATTCATATTTAAATTGTCGTTTTGTGGCTTAATATTTACAAACTAGTGGGAGTGGGAGTGCGCACACATGTGTGTGTGTGTGTGTATGCGCGGACGTGGGGCGGAACTCCGCCGTGCGCGATGCAGAGAGCACGACCAAAACGTAGAGACCGAAATGACATGCCGTCATGTAAATAAGATAAATAACATATGGCTATTTAGTTTGTTTATAAAAGAACAAGGTAATAATAATAATAATAATAATAATAATATAAATTAAAAAAAATAATAAAAATCTTGGGTCTGAAAGATTCATAAGTGCATGCTATTTCAGTTTTTTTTTCT